TTTAAGCCCAAGCTTCTTACTCCACGGCCTACACTCTTGCCACTGCAGTGTGTAATCAGTGGTGTTTTTTACTGTTTTCCTTTTTTTTTTTTTTTTTTGACTAGGTGATACACTTTTGGCCATTCAGGCACCTTCTGGTACACAGCTGGAGGTACCTATTCCAGAAATGGTATGTAGAATACATCTGCATAAGTAGGAAAAATAGATGTAGTTGCAATAGGTACAAATGTATGCTTTTGAGCTGAACATAAGCTGATTTTATGTGAACAATTTTGAGTTCCTGCTTTCAAGTTTTATATCTGAAACCACTGATATCTGAATTTGGATGTCTTCACTACTGGTAAAATTATATGTGACTAAATCATTAACATTTTCATAAGGTTTTTTTGTTTTTTAAATTGACTATCTGATATAAAGGATATCAGTGAATGAATAATGGGATGGCCAGTAATCTTAACAAAAGTTAAAATGATTACATCTGTAACTAATGTAAAAATCATGATCAAGGAAAAAAAAAATGTAAACATCAACAATCGGTTGTTTTAAATTAGGTCTCAAGAAAACATTTTTCTGGCTTACTGAATCAGATATTTATTGATTTTATGTTCTATATAAAATTTATTTTAGTTTTCAGATTAAGATCTTTTAAAACAAGCTATACCAACAAAGGGAACAGAAACAAAATATCGTAACACTGCCCCCCACACACCTGTTTTAAAAGTTTGTTTAGGCATTTATATTACTGATCCTGAAACTTCAGGCTATAATCACTTTTCGAAATGGAGGCATTTTGTATTTATGTCTATGTAGGAAGTCAGTTGTCTGCTGAATAAAAAAGGGGTTTGACTTGTGAAACAGTTGTAAAGTAACACGAGATATTGAGATGACCATATTCGTGATGGCTAACTCCAGGGGATGAAGTTCATGCACATGGAGAGTAAGCCCAGTAGTGGAATAGGTATTCTGGAACACTGAAAGATAGCGTTATATGCAGTAAAAATGCATGGTTGCCAGAACTCTACAACTGACAATTTTTGATGATCAGTATTTTAAGAAAAACTTTGTAGGGGCAAGTAGTTTAGAGCCTTCTGTGTCCCATTCTACTCTTGTCTTTTATCTTAATGACCTTATTTTGTTGTATGAATTTAGTCTCTTAATAGCTTTCTCCTGTCTCATTTTTAACATTTCAAGATAGCTAGAAATGTTAATATTTATTCATTTGTTTATACTCAATAAATTTCAAAGGGTCAGAATGGACAAAAGAAATACCAGATCAATTTAAAGAGTCATTCAGGACCTATCCACGTGCTGCTTATAAATAAAGAGTCCAGTTCATCAAAGCCTGTGGTCTTTCCCGTCCCCCCACCTGATGACCTCACACAGCCTTCCTCTCAGTCCTCAACTCCAGTGACTCCGCAGAAATCCAGCATGCTGGCTCAGAACCCGCCTGAGCAACATGTGTCCGAAAGAAGCCAGAATCTTCAGCAGATACCAGCCACAGAAATAGCCTCTGGTGGGTTCAGAGCCTTTTTTAAAAAGAAATACAGGTGGGAAGATATGAGTATTATATTGAACAAGTTGAAGAGCTTTTCTCAATGTCAGTTGTGATATTATCCTATTATCTAGTACGAGAGGTAAAAATAACAAGCTTAGTTCAGTCAAGAAGTATTTAGTGTCTCCTGTGTGCCCAGCACTGGGTATTGGGTATTATGAAATTTTAAAGCAGATCTTGTCTTTGTCTTGCTGCAGATTTTACATATAAATACACATCCAATTCAGAAATATCAGGTACAATTTAATGTAGTTAAGGTTATATATAGAACTGTGACTACTAAGGCATGAGAAGGATATTTATGGGGCAAGGTTTGCTGTTTTCTGTAGGATTCCACTTTTGGAATTAGTTACGCCAGATTTCTTTTTCTTCTTTTTACTATTTATGTATGTCAACTTCTATCAGAAGCTTACTTTTTTTTAACCTCTTAGTCTAGGAAAAATTACAGAATGTGGTCAAAAACCTTTTATTTTTATTTTTATTGTGTGTGTGTGTTTTTCTAGTACCGGGAATCAAACTCACGACCTTGCACTTGCCAGGCAGGCGCTGTGCTGCTGAGCTAAATCCCCAGCCCCTCAAAAACCTTTTAAGAAAACAATCTAGCTAGTATAGAACATAATGACTTATGCCTCTTTTTTCTCTATATTCTTTGTATACTTTTTATTTGGGACACTTAATTTTATAAAGTTGGTAAGTGTTCTCAATATCAGTTATTTACGAAATCTTGCTTTTCTAAATTGTTTTAGCTATGAAATGATAAATAGCTAAACACTAAAAATTGAGTATAAGGAGGTAGGAACCACAACTGTGAAATTTATAAAACTTTTTGTGGCACCCAGTCTTCCTTACTTTCAGAGCTGTCTTTAGTGACTCCTTATGAATTCTAAATAAGAAGTAGCAGTACAGGGAGCTTTTCAGTGATTGCTGAATGAATGAATGACTTGTGCAAATATAGGTATCATACTGCAGATGATTAAAAATGGCATTGTACAAAATCGTAATCACTGACTTTTACTTATTACATATGTCTCATTGCTGCTTCTCTGGGAGTTCACAATATTTAAAAGTAAAACTAAAAATATTTAATTGGACATGGATTTCTTTTTAGCTTGTTGCTCATAGCCTTTTCTACTTCATTTCCTGTTATTTCTATACTATAGGTCACAAGGATGCACAACAGATTCAGGGTTTAAAAACCTTACAATTGTATCTACCTAGGATTAGTAAAACAGGCAATATTTATGTATTTTAGTGTCAACACAACTGGTACATTGGCTTTCAGAAAGCATAAAAAAACTGTAAGATATAATTTCTGTATATTGTGAAACAGTGAGTACTTTGGAGCCTGTTAGAGAAAACCTTAAACAGCCAAGCTAATAGCCAATAATCAGTATTAGCCAAGCTAATAACCATTTAAACTCTGGAGCAGGGGAGTAGTAGAATTTGAGCTGTACAGTGGCGAGCACAGGAGTAGTATCATTGGGAAGAGGACACTGTGGAGAAGCAAAGTGGTCAGAAGCTATAAAGATTGTAGATTAGATGTCTGTGGCTATGAAACAGAGAATGAAAACTGTCTGCTTTGAAAGAATGCGTCTTTCAATCCACATCTTAAGTTGGGGGGTTTAAAAGTAATGGCAGGCATGCAGTATTTTGAAAATGATCTTTCTACAAAGTTCTAATACTCTAATTTTGCATTGTCAGTGAAGCTGATGTGACTACCTGTACCTAAATATAAACACAAATGTAACAAAATTTTGTAACATTTCTTTTTCCAGCAGGATCTATTAGTGGAGATATTATTGATGAGTTAATGTCTTCTGATGGTAAGTAGTTTAAAATCTCACTACTTTATACATCAGTAATGCCTTTCTAGAATTTGTGACATGATTTAAAATAAAGAAAAAATTCTATTTTTCTAACTGCTTCACTCTGACTCATGAGGATTTTCCCTTAAGAATACTCATAATAAAGCACAAGCATCCTTCAGAGCTTGTTTCTCTTTGTTCCCATTTTGAGAAGGAATCCATAAGGAAATTAGCACTTTCATTGTGTAAAGTTTAAACTGTTGGAACACTACCTCTTTGCACTCCTGAAGAATCTGGCTCAAGATAAGTGAAATAATACATCAACATCAACAGATGGAGAATCCAGTTTGTAAATACTTCCACCTTTACTAATTTCAAATTGACCCTACAAATCACCAAACTATTACTAACATCAGCCATGTCATCACCTAATATGAAATGTCTTAAAAATCAATGAGCTACAATATTATTTTAATAATTTTTCAGTGGGCTTCACCTTTGTTCATGGAGTCAGCATCTGGTTCCTAACAAATGTAACAAAGACCTAAGAAGTGGTAGCAGTTAAATTAGCAAATGGTACAGTAATAACTTAAGAAATTTACTAAACATTTAGGCAGAGAACATTAGCAATCAGTAAATTTACATATGTGTTTGTTTTCAAAGTGACAAAATATAATCTAATACCAATAACCAATGTATAAATTGTCTTTACCTGAGAATCTTTCATCTAAGTATAGATTAAACATCAGTCATTAATAGCATAATATATTATGTGTGTGTGTATGTGTATATATATGTACTTTTTAATTTGTGTAACCTAGAAAACAATTTGGTTAAGGTATTTGAGAATAGCTTATTAAACCTCCTTACCTGTATGTAGAAACCATCTTTAACCTTTACTCTGTTTGTTTGCAGTGTTTCCGCTCTTACGGCTTTCTCCTACTCCTGCAGATGACTACAACTTTAATTTAGATGATAATGAAGGAGTCTGTGATCTGTTTGATGTCCAGATACTAAATTATTAGATTCCATGGAAACTTGGGACTGTTATCTACCTCTAACTGCGTAACATTTTAGATTTCTTAATAACCTAAGTATTTAAAAATAATGAATGTAACACCTTTTTAGTTCACTGATTCTGAAGTGTTTTTCCCTAATACTTTCTTTTTTACTTCACAAAACTTCAACCATAAAAACAAAGGGCTCTGACTGTTTCTGGAGTAAAAGGAGTTTAATATGTACCAGCTTTCTCAATCCCCAAGTAATTACATTCTGGGATTTCAACTTCTAATTCTGAATCCTTCTGTTTCCTCTTAAGAGAGAAGGTTAAAGTATCAAAAACAAAAAGTTGGCCAAGGGCTAATCACATATTTGCCTTGTATTTTTACTGCCGTGAAACTATTTCTGCATCTGTGTCATTCCAAGGAGACATTCACTGCCACTTAAAAAGTGAAGGATGTAAATGAGGATATGTAACTGTTTCAGTGAACAGATTTTGTGAAGTGCCTTCTGTTTTAGCACTTTAAGTTTATCATTTTGTTGACTTCTGACATTCCACTTTCCTAGATTATAGGAAAGATCTGTTTATGTAGTTTGTTTTTAAAATGTGCCAATGCTTGTACATTAACAAGATTTTTTAAAAATAAAGTTGTATAAAACACTTATTTTATTGAGTTTTTTTGGGAATCTGATACATCTCCACTGTATTACAATTGAGCCATTAATCTTGTAGCTTCATCAACATTAACTGGTTCATTTTCATGCTGCCGCTGCTTAATCTGAAGGGAGAAAAGTATATTTAAACACTTAATAACTACACAAAAATGACTATTATATAATGTTATCGTTTAATTTCTTCCAGTCATATCTTGAGAGGTAAAGCAAATTCTTATTCATACTCAATGTTTTGAGTCTGAATATGCTAGACACATTATAAAGCCACATATAATAGCCAAGTACTGAAAATTACATGGCTCACATTTCACTTGTTTTGTTAGTTATCAATATATCAGCCATGACAAAAGCAAAGGGTATCTACTTACCAGCTCTTTCTGCAGAGGTTCAAGAGTAAGCATTTTTGAGAAGTGTGCAAGTTCTTTCTGAATGTTTATAAAAGCTTTATTCATTCTGCGAATTTTTTCTTCATTGACAATGTTTATCTGTTAAAAAGGAGCATTAGTCCACAAGTTTACAACCATTAAAGATCAAATGTATTCATCTTTAACTCTGTTAAACCTAAAAATCTGCAAACTCTCAACTCTACCAAATTGTGGGGACAATTCATGCTAAAGTTATCATCTTACTAGAAAATTTTAGTCAAAAGACTTAACGTTTTTAAAAATAACAATTATGTGGCTATGCCTCATACCTAGACTTAGATGGCATAACAAGGCCAAAATACATGACCATAATCCTGTGTTATCATCCCTCATCTGTAAAACCAGAAACCTTGATCAAATACCTTTAGTCTCTTCTAATAGCTCTGAATCATTCTTTGACCTTAATTTAAGCCCCTGGTACCTTTCCTCTTTTGAGTCTAAGAGGTGGAGATGGTTGTTTATATTTACTGCTACTAACAAAGTTTTTTCACAAAGAAACCAACTTTAGTAGATATTATTTTGTGTTTATATAGCATCTTCTTCAAGAACTTTAAATGCTTTACAGACATTATTTTCAATTAATATCCACAACAACCCTGTGCAGTAGGTATCCCTCCCATTTTACAAGACAGGAAGACTGAACAACAAAAGGTTAAGTGACTTGCTCAAGGTCACACAGTTAAGGTCACTGAAGAGCCAGGACCTGAGCACCTAAGCCTCCCAGCTCCCAGCCAAACACTGCATAGAGAATCTTTAATGAAAAGCCTATTTAAAAGAAAGTATCACAAGTAGTATGTTATGAAGGTAAGGTCTGTCTACTGCCATCAAAGAAAGAAAACAATCTACATTGTTAGAAGCTGTAAGACCCATATAGCAACCCCCAATTCTCCTAAGCCGCCTGGCTCCTGTAATTGGTAAAATTCCCCACATAGAAACCATGTGACTTACAAGGAGGATTTAATTTACAGTGATACCTTGGTCGATAGACTTGAGTCTTTCTGTTTCTGGTTGTAAACCGAGTTAGACAACTGAATCAAATTCAATGCTTAGGTTCATGTTGACCTTATAGAGAAATCTGATCTTATACTTGCTATGTCCTAGCTGATGTTAAAATTAACTCTGCTTTACTGTACCCTTTTTCTTTGTATAGAAAGCTGTAAAAATACAACTTTAAATTTTGCAATTTGGTTTAAGCTCTCAAAATACAAGCACTTCTGTGTCTCTAACTTTCCCTAAGTTCTTGGTTGTGACACTGCATTGTTGGCACAGCTGGCAGGCTACATAGTTTGTAGAAAGCAACTCTTGAGGCTCAGAGAAACTATCTTAATTTACCAAAGTACTGAGTATATACCAAGTGTAATTTTCACCCAGCACATCTGTCTAAGCAGCCCAACTAAGTGACCCAATTAAAAATCTGTTTATGGAACATACAGGTGAAGTCATCTCCTGAGCTGAAAGATAGGGGTAATGCCCTACTCACCATAACCCTAGCAGCCTGGACCATGGCTAAAAAAGCCAAAAGACTACATTTTGATGAAGCCCTTTTCCCCCTTGACTTCACAAATTGATTATAAAAGCATTTAGAAATCTGTGTCTCATCTCATTTTGCTGAAGTTTTAAGAAGTAATATATGTAATGTAAAATGTATATAAACCATTGCAGTTGATATTTTTCCATGCATCAGTAAGTTGTGTGACAGTGGCCAAATATAACTTGCACAAAATAGCTGAAAATTACAGTAAAAATAATAGCAATCAAGCATTGGATGTTTCTCACCAAAAGGCAGCCAATTTTTTTTTTTTTTGTACCGGGAATCAAACTCAGGACCTTGTGCCTGCCACATAGTTTTTTTTTCCTTAAATTCTATAATACCAAGTTATAGTACTAAATCTTCACAATGAAAAAGGGATGTTTTTTGTACCAATTTCTCCTTCAAACCTTCAGCTTTACACACTGCAAAAGAACACTCTGGTCCTCCTCCTTCATTGCTGTCACTCACCAAATAGTCACTCACCATGACTATTTGCTTCTTCATGAAAGATTTTAAACCTCAGTTCAGTATTGTGCTAGATTTTAAACCTCAGCTCAGTCTTGTGCTAGATTTTAAACCTCAGCTCAGTCTTGTGCTAGTGTCACTACTCGGTAACTTGAAAAATCTAAGCCTACAGCCTCAATCTCTTGAGGTCCTCCTCTCCAGGGATCTCTCCATTACCTGTTTCAGCAACTACTATGGATCTGCAGCATTGCCTTTCCTTGTTCACTTAGTTCAATAACAATTTTTGAATCTCAGTGAAACCTTGTTGCACCAATTTCACTATTTTCCACAGCTTTATATCCCACTTTTCCCCTTAGCCAGCACAGATTTCATGACCATCACTGAATTCCTTCTTTACACTTTTTAAACTAACTTTCCTTCTTTTCCTTAATCAAACTGGCCTGGCAACATGGTTATACCCAACTACCTCTTTTCTGAGCCCAGATCTGAAGCTGGAGAGTCATAACTGGCTGCCGATCTTAGGAACTTTCCCTACTTTATGAAAAAGGTACAGTACTTTATACTTTATCCAATCATGCTGCCTATTCAGATCCCTCTCTCTTAGATAAGCATAAGGTTCTAGTACCTCCTGTCCAACTGACACACTCAAATGCACCAAGCTTTTCCTAGTTTGAGGCCTCTGTACTTGTTTATCTCTGCCTTGAACATGTTGCTTCCAACTCATCTCAGCATTACTAGGTCCTTACCATTCCTATCTTGACCTCAATGTTACATATAAGGACAATCTTATATAAAACTCAACTCCAAACTCCTATCGTAACACCTAGCTCTTTTCCTTTACAGCATTTACCAAGTCATAAAACTTAAGCATCAAAAAACTTAGCTCACTGATAAGTTAAAGCTGAAATGTCACTTTTCTATAGGTTATTATAGCAAATACAAGTCCTGGAAAGCTGATTCTACCCACTATTTCAATTTGAAAACATTCTTGAGTGTTAGCCACTCAATCTTGAAGAATTTTCTTAAATATTTTGAAATATAAAGATAATAAACTTTAAATTTTGCATTTCAAGAAACAGTACTTCATCTTTGTTTTGCAGATTTAAATTTGTGTTCCAGGAGAAGAATTAGAGAAAAAGAAGTGGTACACGGTGACATTCCATGTCTTGCCTCAATAGGTTCTTGAATATATTTGAGTTTAGAGATAAAAACGGTTTCTCATACCATGAGGATTTTATTTAATGCTTTGTATGCTGTAATAAAGCTGTTAAATTATCAAATGCACTTTTACACTTAAAATACTTTTTTTCTTACATTTCAATTCAAGAAAGGTTATTTTTTTCAACTTTAAAAAACATTTAAAATCATCTGTTTTAGTAAAAGGAAGGAAAAATGGAAACAAAGCTTTTGTAAACGAGGGAAGGGGGTTGAAGGGAGGTGAGGGAAATGGGAAAAAAAGGAATCAGGTTATATCATGTACAGTTACAAATTCCTTATGATGAAAATGATCATTATGTATACCTAAAATGTAGCAATAAAAATCATTTCCTTTGAAACAAAAACATCATCTTGTTTTGTAGGAAAGGCTAAATTTTGGGTTAAACAACTGAGGTTAAACAACAGAATTCAATTGTACAGTAGCTTTACCACTATGCTTTGCTGTGGTGCTAAATAAAACTCACCTTCTTAAGATTAGTGGTAACTGGTTTTGCTTTGTTTTTAGATTTAAAGTGTTTTTGGCTGGCTATGTGAAATACATTCTTGGACTTCTGCCCTCTTAATTTATTCTTGGCCATTGTCTAGAAAAGAAAAAAAAAAAGATCAATTAAACTGCTTAGGTTTAAGAACTACAAAATCAATTAAGTTTTTAAAGCAGAGGTACTAAGTCTAAGAAATCTCATCTTACTCCTGATTTGGGTGGGTGGGGTGCCAGTTCTGGGAAGGGAACCCTGAGCCTTTTCACTAAGCTACATCACCAGGCCTTTTTTTTTTTTCTTCCAATTTTGAGACAGGATCTCACTAAATTGCCCAGGCTAGGCTTAAACTTGTGATCCTCCTGCCTCAGCCTCCTGGGTAGCTGGAATTACAAGCATGTATTACTGCACCTCACTACTCCTGATTATTTTTAAAGCTGCTAAATGTATTAAATTATTTCTATTAAAATTTAAATATTTTGCTCTTTGACTAAAACATATTTATCTAATTCTTTAATGCATCCCCAATATCTGGCCCATCGGAGGTACCTAATTAATGTCTACTAGTTGAATTCACACTGATATTATCAGTAAGTGTTTTTTGCTGCAGCTTCTGACAATGTGAACCTGTACCAAGCATCCCTCAGTCTATGCATCACTACACATGCCTGGTTCCTAAGTGCCTTATTCAGCTTTCTATCACTGTAACAAACCTGAGAATAGCAACCTAAAGGAGTAAAGATGTATTTTGGCTCACCGTTCAGACTGTGGTCAGCTGGTTCCACTGCTGTGGGCTCAAATCTTGAAAAAAGGATGTGGTACAGCAAAGCTGCTGACCACATGGCCGCCAGGAAGCAAAGAGAGAAGAGCCAGAGAAGGGGCCGGGGGCCACATACAGTACCAACCTCAAAGCCCTATGATCCCTTCTGCTCTAGGGCCTATGTCATTTCCATCCCCTCCTAATATCAAATTACAACCTCATCAGTGAAGTCAGTCATATGTTCCAATTACTTCCCAAAGCCCCTCAGCAGCTGGGTGTGGTGGTGCACGCCTGTAATCCCAGCACTTGGAAGACTGAGGTAGGAAGATCTCCATAAGTTTGAGGCCAGCCTGGGCTACATAGTAAATTCGAGCCTAGTCTCAACTACACAGCGAGATCCTGTCTTCAAAACAAAACCCAAAAGCCCCTCTTCAACACAAAGAGCCTTTTGGGTGGGGGAACAATGCAGATACCAGCCATAGCACTATTATACTTTAGGTACTGCCTCTCTTTGACTTCTCATCTTCTCATTCCTTTTTACTCTCCTTTCTTTCCTGTGCATCCCATCAAAATCAGTCTTTAATCTTGCACTTAATCCCTCAAATTACTTTTACAGCTTCTATATTCTCTCCATGTCAATGGGTCTTACCCCCAAAACTTAGTTTTCTTTGCTTTGTAACTAAACACATTAATCCTGTAACATCTACATTAGAAATATCTCCCAAATGTGTTTTTAATAATGCATGTGAGGAAAAAATTCCCACTTTACAGATAAAAATAACTGATTTAGAGAAATCAGAATGCCTAGTATCACACTTAATAACCACAGATGGCCTGATTTAAAGCCACTCACACTAGATCATAGCGCTCACATGTGATAATGCCTCTCATGCATAAATACAAAATCAATTCCAAACAATGGTGGAGTATTATCTAGTTCAGGACTGGGTTACTGCTGTATTCCTGGCTCCATTTGTTTAGGCCATGGATTGGCAAACTATGCCCCATCGATCAAAGCATTATGCACTGTCAATGGCTGTTTTCCTGTTAAAAAGTATGGCCCAAAAAGTCCAAGGCATTTACGGTCTGATCTTTTACAGTTTGTCAACCCTTTCTTCAAGCCAATGCACAATGGCTATTTTGTACGGTGCTATCTGATGAACCTTCCCAATATTAAAAACCTTTCATGGCCCTTCTAATATATAAAAGGGCAATATAACTTGGTCCAGCATATTACTGGTACCCTGAATAGAGCCTCAGTCAGCCAAGCACCTACCTCTCTACACACAGTACTAGCCTAACTGCTCTCCGAAGGCATCTTGTGTATGTGTCCTTTGCTTTTACACTGTATCTTCCTTGAAATTCATATCCTCCATTTGACCTCAGAAAACTAAGACAGTAACACTTTTGAACCCCAAGAGTACTACTTTAAAAAAATTGACGAAGTAGAAAATACACAATTACAGAAGCAGAATTAACACTATTCAAGTTAAGTAATCTAAAATCTCTCCAGTAGTAACCAAAATTCAGTCAGTCTTCTAGCACTCATCAGTTGCTAATGGTACAGAACTGACATACTGAAACATAAACATACATACATGATAGGTATTACACTACCAACAATACTACATAAAATAAACATGGAACAGTTAATAGATGTTGCAGGCAGCACACAAGCGAGACACAGGAAGAACTGGAAACATGAGAAAAGACCATGAGGAAGGAATACTCTAAGTGGAGAACGCGGTTAGGAAAACTCTCACAACAGTGTGGTATCATAATCGACACAGCCCCACAAGGGTAACATGCCCAGGGCATAGCTGCGGAGTTTCAGGTCTGGCCAAGAGGCCAGGTTATGTGAGCCCGAACCCCGGAGAACCAAACCCTCCGATCACAGCACCACGCGGCCGGCTCAGTTCTGCCTCAGTCCCCGCGAACCTCACACCAGCCCACCGAAAAGTGTCATCAATTTTCACCAGACCTTTGGTGTCCGCGTGCAGCTGCTCAAGCTCCAGGTGACGCCATCTGCACAAGGCCCAGGAAGTTCCGGGAAGAAGGATCCTGTCATGTGAGCTTCCGAGCCATAACCCCGCCTATCGGGCTAATCCCGCCCACGAGGCGGAGCCCCACCCACCCCGCCTGCCGCGCTAGAGCGAAGCCCCGCCCACGAACCGGAGTCCCGCCTCCAAGCGGAGCCTCGCACACGGAGCAGAAGCTTACGCACCCGGCTCGGCACATAGACAGAGAGAAGCTCCCCCACCGAACCGGGTTCCACTCACACGGCGGAGTCCCACCCTCCTCCTCCAAAGGGCCACGCAGAGCAAGGCCCGCCCGCCAAACTAAGTTCCGCGCCTGGCGGAATCCGACCCAGTCTGGGCTGCGTGTAGCCCGAAGCCCCGCCTACGGAACGATGTCCCGCCCACCACGCAGAGTTCTACCCACCCTGCTTCGGGCGAGCACCACGTCCCGCCTACCGAACGTACTTCCGTTCCCAGCAGCGGGACTCCGTCCACCTGGTGTAATCCCGCCCACGGGCCAACCGTTTTCCGCAGAACCAGGCGCCAGAAGCAGGACGAAGCCCCGCCCCTAGGGCAAGGTCCCACCCCCGTGGGCAGTCCCGCCCTCAGCATCTCTCGGCGGAATTGCCCTTGTCCCTTGGCCTGAAGCGAGCAGTCGCCAGCTCTCTGCTGTCCCCGGTGCGTGCGTGAGCAGAAAGCCACCCTAAGCGTCCCTGCGTCTCGTGGGCCGTGAGGACGTCGGGGAAGTCCTCACGCCGCGTGGCTGCTTCGGCCCCGCGCGCACTCCCGGAAGGGGGCGCTGCGCACCTCTGCGGCTCCGGGCGTTGCGGGCGGCGGAGAGGACGCGGTTTACCGTCTCCTGACGCAGCGTTTGTGATGAGCCAGAAGTTCTAATGCTTTTCTCATTATAACTTTTTGCTCCAAAAGGCGAGTTTCTGACAGCATGGCCAAGGTACAAGAAACCAGGCGCAATGTGGAATGTAAAAATAGAACAAGCGCTGAGGAATTTAGAAGAAACTTTGTTCCCTTCTGGTGTGTGTATCTGTATTTCTCCCAATTAGGACGTCCTGGGTTGAGGTGTTTAGAAAATTGAATCCTTTCAATAGGTTATAGCCGTTAAAGCTAACGATTTTCCCATATCGCTTATTTTGTTGAAGTTATGGGAAAAGCTAGTTTTTCAAACATGTAGAAAAGAACTGACATTTTTATGGCAGTTTGTGTATATGCTGCCAATGAGCACTTAATGTGATTTTGTATTTTACAAGACTTCAGTGTGAAGATTCCCCCAAAAACGAGGATTAGAGTTCTCATTTGACCCAGCTAGTCCCCTTCTGGGTATTTTTCCAGAAAAATTGAAAACATCATACCACAGTGATATATATGCACCCATGTTTAGAGAAGCGCCATTTGTATCGCTAACTCTTGGAAACAACCCAAACGGCCATCAACTGACGAACGGATAAAAAAGATGTGTTTTTATACAATGGAATATTACTTGGGTATAAAGAAAAATAAACTCAAGGCTTTTATAGGTAAATAGATGCAACTAGAAACCATACTCGTAATTAAAATAAAGCAGAGCCAAATGTATAAACATCATATTGTCTCTCTAGTGTAAGAAATTGAAAGACTAAATAAAACCCAAAAGGTACAATAGATACTGTGAAAGGGGAAGAAACTGCTCAAAAGGAAAGAACAACTGGGATGTGGGAAAGGAGAAAAGAAAGAAGGAAGGGAAATAGCTAAGATAATTGTATTACTAATTTCTATTGGTTTATTGAAAGGAACAGTTAGTGCTTAATTTTTTTGATCAGTTTTGCATGCCTATTCCTGGTAATCTGAACAACTGTTTTGAAAATAACCATATGAAATATAACAACCATTGTCGATTTCCTATCCTCTTGTTTTCAAATTCTATATCATTTTTAATGTTTTTAAATTTTTTATTCTCTTTAAAATAAAAAAATAAATTAAAAAAAAAAGACTTCAGCCTACTCTCTGCCCAGACTACCAAAATAATGCAATAATCCCACCACCTTTTTGACAGTGAGGATAATATGCTTGGATTTTGAACCATTTGTTGACAGTCTCACAACTAGTAATTGACAAAGACCAGATTCCTTGTCAGCTGGCACTTGCTCAAGTCCTCTTTACACTTAATAAGCCATACACCTACTTTTAGAAAAATGACCCACTTTTACAATAAATTGTTTTATTATGTTCATAGTCATCGTAAAAATTAAGAAATATATTAAGAGGCATTATGAGCCGTCAGTGTATGTTTATTTGTATTTTGTGTTCTTTCTAAACACCAATCTTAAAAATTTCTTCAAAAGCTGGCATAAAATGCCAGTAATATGTGGGAGCAAAACGAAAACAAAACTGAAGCTTCAGAAAATCATTTAGAAGTTTGAAGAACAGAGTATTCACAAACACAGAAGCAAATAAGGCAGATGTAATTATGTTTCCTTGAATGTGAGTTATTTACATATATGTCAAAGATGGATGTAGAGGAATGACAAAATAGTGTTAAGAGCTGTGGGGACTAGCTTTTATTTTGAAATGCTGAGATAGAAGGCACTAGCAGGGTTATATGGGTAAGAGCAGAGACTTATATAAGGTGAGGAGGCATGGGTATCTTTTTCACCCATCCCACCAACCAACAGCATGGTCTCGGAAAAGTTACTTCATTTCTGTATGCATCCTTTTTTATATGTACAGTACATGAAAATTATAGCTACTTCAAAGAACTTTCATCAGCTCAGTATCCCTCTTTGGGTAACTACTCTTCTCATCAACTGGTTGAGCTAATCGTTGTAGTCCTCGTCTAAGGAATTTCCAATTAGAGCCAATGAGAATGTGACCTCTTGTATTTGGTAGAGTTGGGCCAGGATAAAGTGAAAGTGAAGCTATGGTGGCTATGGTGGCCATCTCCTCCAGCAACTGGGAGGAGGCCTATCTACCATGGGAGAAAATAAAGGCAATGGAAAACAGAGCTGAACAGTAGAGTGGAGGACTCTGATAATAATTGAGTCCTTGAATTCAGCCACAGATAGAAGAAAGATCTTTCCCTATACTACCTGAGCTAGAACATGGCTTTTGGGGGATTTAAACTACCTTGGGCTACTTTTTAAAATCTCTTGTATCTGAAAGATTTTTGGCTAGTCCTGTTTTACTACAGAGGATTATTGTACTGAGTTAATAAAATAAAAAACAAGAAAGCAGCCAGCCCTGGGGATGCATGCCTTAATGACCTCTCTTGAAAGGTGAGACAAGAGGATCCCAATTCAAGGCCAGCCTAGGTTTCAGAGAGTTTAAGAGGGACTGAACTACAAGAAGGCTGTCTCAAAACATAAAAAATCAAGAAATCCTAAGATATTACTAAAATATAAGAAAGCATTTTAGCTTTTTAAGAACCATGTAGAGGAGCCCTTTGGGGCATGCACTCCCCTCCTCTCTGCGTCTGGAGTAAAGGCTTTCTTCCCCCTTTGTTTGTTTCTTCTTCTAGGCCACTGTAAACCTAACAAGAGTCAGTCAGAAGGCTCCTACTAATCTAAGGAAGAGGGAAGGCCTGAACTAAGCAACAAAAGGGTGTATATAAGAAGGAAGACAATTTGGAAAAAACAAATTGAAGAATTCTCCTAGAAAGAAGAGAGAATAGCATGTAAATAACCAGAGGAAAAAGAGAAGGAAGCCTGGTACCAATCCAGAAGGCCCAGCCATTCAGAAGCAGGAATGGAAGCTATAAAAGAGGGGGGCAAAGACTTCAAAACTTGGAAAAAACATTATTTCTGACAATGAAATGTAGCTAGCAAAAGTGCACGTTAAACATGGAAAGACTCGGAAAAGCTGCCTTTCATGTATGACTTCTAAGACTGATGAATGTTTCATTAGGGATCGGTAAACAAGAGAATGAATCAGATGACAAGACAACAAGCAAGGATAGCAAAGGGAGGTCATGAAATACCAGCTGCACAGCAGGCCACCTGCAGACACCTTGCTACTGACATCACAGATGTTATTACCTGTTATTTGGGCACAAAAATACTTCAATAGTAGTGCTAAGACCATGGTAGACCTGAAAGAGAACTGGGAAAAGGTTTGAGACAAGTTTGCAGAAAACTACCTAACTGTTAAGACCAAGACAGTTGTTAATACCAGGAAGAATAAAATTATGCAAAGGAATATAATCATAGTATAGTACAGGTTATTTTTATAGTCATAACTGATAACTAATCTGTTTATTATTAAGATATAACTATATAAAGCAAGATATGTGTTAGAGCTATGTAACACTATCAAGAAAAGATCTAAAACTTAAAAGCAAACAAAAATGGAACATTGTTTTGATAAACTGAGATAAAAAGTACAAACAACTTTGGGGTCAGTGTAATGGTCTGGGAAGGAAAGATAAGTTCTGGAAGGGAATACTGTTTTTCATAATAAAGCAATTTAAGTTTTTAAAAATACATGCACAAGTCATATGTCCAATTTTTCTTAAAACTTCCAGATGAATAAAATCATAGATTAAAAACATGTTTTAATGTTTTCTTGTTTTCATGTTTCTCATATGAGAAATAATATATTCATATATATGATAAAGAGCAAAATAGGAGATAAATAAGTAGGAAAAAGTTCAAATATTTCCCCAAATTACATTCTGTTGTTTGAAAAATAATATATATGTAATTTGTTTCAGTTATACTACTAGTTTAGTTTGTTGAAAAAATAGTTTTGGGGCTGGGGATTTAGCTCAGCGGTAAAAGCACCTGCCTGGCAAGTGCAAAGTCGTGAGTTCGGTTCCCGGTACCGGAGAAAAACCAAAAAAAAAAAAAAAAAAAAAAAAAGAAAAAATAGTTTTGTGTTACCTGTTTCTTCTTTGTTTTTTTGTTTTGTTTTGTTTTTCTTCCGGTACCAGGAATCAAATTCATGACCTTGCGCTTGCCAGGCAGGCACTTTGCCACTGAGCTAAATCCCCAGCCCCCTGTTTCTTCTTTGTAAAAATCTTTTTATTCATTTTGCAACTCTGAGTAACTACTTTGAAGGTGATGAAACATAGTACATTAACTGTTGTCATTCTCTTATAATTTTGTTATGAAGTTTTCTCTTATTTTTTCATAAAAAAGCCTTGGTTGTCTTGTTAAGACTCA